TATATATATATATATATATATATATATATATATATATATATATATATAGTGTATTAAATTAGTTAAAACAACTTCAATATCTACTTTCCATTTTGTATAATTTCCACATATTTGTCTGATCATTTGTTTTTGTAATAATGTTTTTTTAATTGTAAAGAGACTTTATTGAAACCTTGTATATTTTTAAAATTACCATATATAAGGAATGATTTCTTGATAAATTTTTATTTTTATATTCATCGTGTTTTTATAAAAAGGAATTTACATATGCCTTGTTAAAATTAGGAAATCTGCGGCGTTCATAAGAAGTATTGTTGTCGACTGCTATTTCATATTTGCAGAGTGGTTTCCCGAAGAATGATTGCAACAGAAAGCGAAAGTACTGAATTTGTTACACACATTATAAATATATTACACACATTTTACATTTTTTTATATACCTTTTAAAAATCCGTCTTTTGTGGTGATTTTTTATTGTTCAGGTTATTTCCTTTGTATAATAATAACTTCAAGTATTTTGCGTCTTTCCTTGTAGTGAGTGTTTTACAGTATTTGTATATTATATGCTGATATTTGTATCAAAATGAAAAGGCTTTTTTAAGTGACGACGCGTTTCGCCGACGTGTGTTAGGTTCGGTTTCTCCTAACAATAAATTAATTAAATGCATTGAGAGTGCGCTAATCTCACATTTCTTGATAATAAACCAAAGACCAGGACCTTACATAATATCACCGATCATGACAAAAGTAATAATAGTACAATGCAGTATACGAGCTAATCGAGAAAACACAGATATCTACTCGTAGTCGGCTGATTTAAAATCCAATATATACTAACGGCTCTAATATATAAATAATAAAAAAAAACACCTTTTGGTCTTTGGGCGTCGGAGCTGATAAGGTAATTTAATCTATAGCCCCTCTTATCCTCAAAAGACCTATCGCATTTTCCTTACACACAGTTTTGACTTTCATTCCGACGTGAAGACACCGAACCGGAGACACATCAGCGAAAAGCGTCGTCACTTAAAAGAGATTTTCAACATTGTCACATATTATCGTTTTATTTTCACAATTAGCCTTATTTGAAAAAGGAAAAAAATCTAGCATTAAATTCGTTCATAAAATTGATTCATTCTTCTGTCGTCCCCCAAGTTGTTACCACTTAAGAAGGTCTATCTGACTCTCGTGTACAGATCACACACTGAGAAAAACCAGGGAACGTTTCGAGGACTTGAAAAATAAATTTATTGAGGTTCAGGGGAAGGCCATAATAACAGTTTTAGACGCTTTGGCACATACCGTCTCACTGATTTATCTGAAAAGATTTTCATACGCGTCTTGATAAGACAGAATTACTATTATCAGTTTATTGTTTCATAAGTATTTGACACTAAAAACTTAAAAAAAAAAGTTACAATAAATTAAGTCATAATATCCAAAATTGTGTCATTCTTGCACTTTCTTCATGCGTAATGGCCAATAAAACTTTATTCTAAAATTATTTTCTAAAATAAACAATCTTTCATTATTTTTTAAATCATGAAAAAAAACGAATAACATTCAGAAAACTAGTAAAAGAAATTGAATGAGGCTTATCAAACCGGGGAAGGCCATAAGAAATTTTCAAAACGATTTCATATAATCCGTGACACTGAAACATTTAAGTGCAATGTCAATCGTCGTCATCTGTCGCCTTGCAAGCTATTCATTTTTTTTCCATTGTTTCTTTCACTCCCAGTAACCCCTTGTATCCAAGTGACTTTGATTGCCTTGCTTGAAATGATTTAAAAAAAAATAGGGCAGAATTATTACATTTTGTACTAAATACAAGTGCCGTCTGGAATAGTCATGTCGGTGTGAATGTTTCAAATAATAACTATAAGCATGCTGTTTCAAATAATCGTCCCGCCGGTTAAGTTTAATAAACGGGACTAGCAGGATTATCCGTTTCATCATAAGGAAACATTCGGTATTCATTGACTGAATAATCAGGGCTAATCGAGTTACGCTTTTCCTCACTCCCTGTCCATCGGTTGGGATCAAAGTGTAGTATCTGTTCTCCTAATCTTTAGTACTGATGGTAATATTATCAATTTCTTCATATTTCTTATATTCGATACCTATGAACACTAATGAGTATGTCACAATCCTCAAAAATACGTTGAACACTATTATAAGTGGGGGCAATATGCTGTATAAGTAGTTCATCACTAGCAGTGGTTTACCTACTTCCCACAGCTGGCGAGTATTGTATTTTGTTGATATTATAAATATTACCATTTCATTTCCAACCTCCATTTTGGTTGTTCCTCATTCAGTAACCTTTTCTAGATTACAACATGTACTAAACTCACTTTGTTTTACACCCACAACAGATAAATATATTGACTCTGGGCAAAGTAAATCTAAAAAGGCGTGTGTTATATAACGTACCTTTGAACACTAATGAGTATGCCACAATCCTCATAAATACGTTGGACACTATTGTAAGTGGGGGTAATATGCTGTCTAATTAGTCAACCCCTAGCAGTGGTTTACCTACTTCATGACGCTGGCGAGTATTGTATTTTGTTGATGTTATAAAAATTACCATTTTATTTCCAACCTCCATTTTGGTTATTCCCCATTTAGTAACTTTTTCTAGGCCACAACAATATTCATTATCTGAACAGCCATGGTGCTATTTTTGTTAGGTCTTTCTTGATCACTGACCATCGGGCTAGGATCAAAGTGTAGTATCTGTTCTCAGCTTTTTTTTAGGAAAATAGATTTCTCAAGTCCACGAACTGTTATGGCCCTTTTCATTACTGAAACAGGTTTCCTTCGTAAACTTTTTTAAATAGTGGGTCAACATTTTTTTTTCTTTTCGGGTTATGCTTTCTATACGTTTTACTTGGGTCTGCTCTTGTTTATGAACGTCATCAAGGGATGTGTTTTCTGTTAATTGCGATTCAGTAGCAACAGTCCATAAGGGTCGTAGAGGGATGTTCCTCGCTAAGACCTAGAGATGAACAGCCGTAAGTACTAGTCATGATATAGAGAAGTTTTACTGTAGAAAGTGTCAATTTGAAGAGATCGATACAAGGGCATGGGGTATCGAATACCAAAGCAAAAAATAGTTATAGTTGTATTAGATAGATAGATAGATAGATAGATAGATAGATAGATAGATGAGCAGACTAAAATTACATAGACTAATAGATAATCTTTACTGTCGAAAGGGTCTATTTGCAAAGATCGATATTAGAGCATGGGGTATCGAATACTTTAGGAAAAACTCATTATAATAATAATCATTCTAATTAGATATATAAAATAATATTAATAATTTTTTTAATATATTATCAGATTATATTAGATAGATAGATAGATAGATAGATAGATAGATAGATAGATAGATAGATAGATAGATAGATATAAGCAGACTAAAATTACAGAGATAGATAGATAGATGGATAGATAGATATGAGCAGATTAAAATTACATAGATAGATAGATGGATAGATAGATAGATATGATCAGATTAAAATTACATAGATAGATAGATAGATAGATAGATAGATAGATAGATAGATAGATAGACATAAGTAGACTAAAATTACAGAGATAGATAGATAGATAGATAGATAGATAGATAGATAGATGTGAGCAGATTAAAATTACATAGATAGATAGATAGATAGATAGATAGATAGATAGATAGATAATCTTTACTATAGAAAGGGTCAATTTACAGAGATCGATACTAACTATGGTGTATCGAATACTTAAGAAAATCATTTTAATGATAATCATTCCAATTAGATATATAAAATAATAATATTATTAATTTTTTATACAGTCCACGTATTAAACAGGGTTGTTTTTTTAATAAGGTTAGGTAAATATATCAAATTCAGAACGATAAATCGGGGAAAAACTAAACTTTTACATCCAACTGTTTCTGAAAAGTCGAATAACTGAGAAATTATTTTTTTTAAATATTGAACCAGTTGTATTTCCATATGTCATCTCATTAAACTTCTGGAAGCTAAGATTTTAATATTTTTCATTTTTTACTCATTAAATTATGCGATCAGCCAATGGCGAGAGAAAGATCAAAAGATTTCTATGAGTCGAAGCAAAAAGCGTTCCATTCCAAACTTTCTTAAATTGTGTATTTCTCGCAAGAGACTTTCTGGAGTTAATATTATTCAGATCATCAAAGAAGGTTTTTGAATTATAGATATATTTTATGATATTTAAAATAGACATTGCAACTTGCTCGGTAGATAGGCATACGTGTATCTCGGGAGCATTGAATGAGATAGATAGATAGATAGATAGATAGATAGATAGATAGATAGATAGATAATATTTATGTAAGGATCAACACTCTTCCCCGAGATCAGTGTAGCATCTGTGTGTCTTGCCTATTCTCAAAGTGTCGTTTCCCGAAACGTCTCTCTAGGATCAGTGTAATATCTGTGTACTATGGATAGGATCTAAGTAGCACTCTTCAGCCTTCTGCAAATTATCATTGCAACACCTCTGCATCCTTCCTGCCCGCAAAGTGTCGTTTCCGTGCAATTCTGTCAAGGATCAGTGTAGTATCTGTGTACTGTGTCAAGAGAGTAGATAGGTTGACGTTTTTGGTATACTTTGTAGACACGTTTTCTATTATCATATTCTCCTGCCAAAGGAAGACGCAGGTTCGAATTCTACCGAAGACTACATAATTTTCTGTAATAATATTTATGGAACATTCAGGCCGGTAGGCGAAAAAAACTATAGTTTAATAAATAAATGGAAAGTAGACTCAAATATGTATATCCGCTAAAAATAATGTTTCAGTAATAAAATTTGTCGCATTAATCAGATAGATAGATAATGAACAGACTGGAATAGTAGATAGATAGATAGATAGATAGATAGATAGATAGATAAAACTTTTCAGATATATAGATAGGTAGATAAAAAGTTTCTGATAGATAGATAAAAAGTTTCAAATTGTCGGATTAATCAGATAGATAGATAGATAGATGTGAGCAGAATGAAATTAGATAGATAGATAGATAGATAGATAGATAGATAGATATGAGCAGAATGAAATAAAATATGAGCAGAATGAAATTAGATAGATAGATAGATAGATATGTGCAGTCATGAAGATAGATAGATAGATAGATAGATAGATAGATAGATAGATAGATATGAGCAGTCATGAAGATAGATAGATAGATAGATAGATAGATAGATAGATAGATATTTTTAAAGTGGAAAAAACATAGCACTGTGCCAGGCTTATTCGCTGAGCAAGAACAACATGTACTCAGAAAGAAGGCCCAGTCATCATCACTGGATCCTGTCAACCCGCATGTTACATCAGAGATTACTTTCTCCTACTTGCATACATAAATGAAGTGTAAGGAGTTCAACGCTTCCAGAATACATCCGCCCTTCGGCAAGCTTTTGTCCTGATATGTATTTAGCCTGATGTGTGATGAGGCATCATCAGAGTAGCGTATATTAACATTACAACAGAGATGCCATCTTGTCATGTTTCTATAGAAGTTTGCTGACAATCGCGGAATAGCAGACGCAGGTAGTAAATTCGTAATGATGGCTCATGTGAGCCGAAAGCTTAGATGGAAGAATAGCATAATAAAATATATCCAAACGCTGGACAGTTTTTGTCTTTATTTCCTCTGGAAGCTAAAGCTACTATACAAAGTTTAGAACGGCTCCTGATCAAACATAATAGACATTCGTTGCCTGTTATATCTAACAATATATGTTTGAATAATTATCTGCTGCCACATTACACTATATATATATATATATATATACTCTACCTTGTCTAGTTAACTACAACTATCACCCTCCCTGTTAAATTACAAAAATTACACTACCCATCAATTTCTAATCCCATTTTTCCTTTCATTTCGTTGTTGGAATTGTTACCTGATGATCCGGAATCCTTTAAAAAGGATTTTGGTGAAATAAATTATTGTAATGGTACCTTAAAGTGGTCTGTTTTTCATTAAATATTAGCTCTGTATTCACATTGAGCTCTCAGGATTTCATCCTCCTTGGAATTACCCATTCGGTTTACCAAGTTCTTCGTAACTTTAGTTTTTTCCTTCCGCTTGTGCTGTTAGGCGTCGCTTGGAGACACAGTCCTCTGTCAGCGGCAAGGCGAATGGCCTGTAGGCGAGACATCTCGTGGCCTCTGAGAGTGTCTGCTACTGAGTCGCTCCAGCGTCTTCTTGGTCTGCCACTTGCTCTCTAGCCAGAGTACCTGAGGATATATGTTCATAGGGCTGGTTGTTTGATAGGCATACGAGTGAGGTGTCCGAACCACTTGATCCTCTTGATGTGTTGTATGATTGGTATTGCTCCTATCATATTTCTTATTGCCTCATTCCTGATCATGTCTCGCCTGGTCTTGTTCACTGCTTTCCTCAGGCATTTCATCTCACAAGTGATCAGTTTCCTCTCAAGGGTTTTTGTTAGGGGCCATGTTTGACACTGGTATGTCAGCGTTGGTAGGAAAATGTCGTTGATGAGATTTACTTTGGTGTCCATGGAAATTCTAAGATGTTTTAGAAGAGAAGCAAGTTGGTAACTGACTGTATTGGTTTTCTGAGATCTGGTTTCGATCTCTATGTCTAGTTTGCCGTTTTCAGTAAATATGCTGGCCAGGTATTTGAATTCACTAGTTTGCTTTATCTGGATCTCATTGATGTTAATACCCTCATCTACATGTAAAAAAAGGGCTAAAAATAATCGAAGCACTAATAACAAAAAAGAAAAGGACAGCACCCTATAATGTGCTGACCGTGTTTGGAAAAACAATAATAAAAAAAAACATTGCTATCACTCTAGACACATTCAGTAAAAACATCAAGATAAAAAAAAAACATCCTTGATAATGGCTCATAGAACAGTCGAAATTGCTCGGATGGAAAGCCTTTACACACTTCATGCCCAGAAAAGAAATCATACGACTAATTTTCCAGAGTGTTAGAGAATGTTTTTCCTTCCGAGGAGAGAAAAATGCAAAATGGTAACTGGCTTTCGTGTAAGATATATATATATATATATATAT